AGAGATGAGGTTTCAGCATGTAGGCCAGGCTGGTTTCAAATGCCTGACCTTAAGTTATCTTACCTCCTCGGCCTCCCAAAGTGCTAGGATTACAGGTGTGAGCCACCGCACCCAGCCTGATATCCTGATATGATAATTTAAACCACAGTCCATATCACAATTTTTTTTTTTTTTTTTTGAGATAGAATCTCACTCTGTCACCCAAGCTGGAGTGCTGTGGCACCATCTCGGCTTGCAGCAACTTCTGTCTCCCGAGTTCAAGTGATTCTCTTGCTTCTGCCTCCCAGTTGCTGGAGTTGTAGATGTGCACAACCATACCCAGCTGATTTTTGTATTTTTAGTAGAGACGGGGTTTCACCATGTCACCATGTTGGCCAGGCAGGTCTCGAACTCCTGGCCTCATGTGTGCATTCTTTATAACAATTTTCCAGCCCACATCAGGGTCCAGTCCAGTATAACATGCTGCATTTAACTGTCATTACAATTATATTTTAATAATTGTTTTAAAATGATGCTTATTTTCCTCTGATTATGAAAGTAACATATGTTCCAGGTAAACAATTTAGAAAATAGAGTAAAATACAGTTACCTTCTGCGGTTTTACTAACAGGGCTGCAATCTCCGAGGTGACCACATTAACAATAGTAGTTATGTCATCCATGAAACGGTCAGAAAAACGAGTCCTCCGAACACTGTCCCGTTTGTCCATGTTATGTACATACTGGGCCATGCTTTTCACCTATGGAGGGGCATGGGGGAAATGCCAACATGGAGACTGGTGACCTGCTTGTACAATGTGGAAAAGGGGGAAAGACTCACAGCAATGCTCTCTAACAGTGGAGTTCCTGACACTTTATCTGCACTGGTGGTGCCTGAGCAAGCTGCGGACTAAAATGCTGCATACACACCAGTGGTTACCATGGTGGTGGGAGGTGGGAAGGGTGTCCTCTTTTTGACCCCAAGTCAGGGGGCTCCCTTCTTGCTGCTGACAAAGCCAGGAGCTTAATTCTTTAGCTACAGTGTCAGAGGACTCCCTGTCTCAACTGCCTACATCCTGGAAGGCAGACGTGAGCTGGGCTCCCGTAACCAGTGAGGTGTCCTGTAACATGGGACAGAACACGTGATGTAAGGAGGGACTGCTATCACAAGGCTCTTGATGCAAACCGAAGTCTTTTCTGTTCCTGAAAGTAAGTAAGGAGAACAGTGAGAAATATTCTTCCTATCTGGAGTTTCAGTGTTTCTGGAGGGAGCACCGTTTTTCGAGAAATAGTTCTATAGTTTCCAACAGTTATTTTCTGCCCCTATAAATTTTAGCTATATTATACATCGAGCAGGGTTTTCTTGGGCAGCTGGAAACAGAACCACTATTTAAAACATTGCCTCTAGGGGAAATATCACCTTTAGGGGAAATGTTGAGTTCTGTGAGTCTAACTTATATTTACATATATACTGCAGACAGTCACCAATTGACACAAAAATCTCTATATACAGATCTATCTGTCTGTCTGTCTATCATCTCTATATAAATATCTCTGTGTCAATACAAGTCACCAATTGACACAAATTGGTGTCTTGACACAAACTGGTATATACTGTAGCTACATATATAATGCAGACAAGTCATCAACGGACAAAGGTATCTCTATACAGATATAGATATCTATATGGATAGACATACAGTATGTATATATAGATAGCCGTGTATCAGTTGGTGACTTTCTGCATTATGACTAGGATAATGCTATCTTAATGCCGACTACAATTTTAAATCAAAATCATGCTTATTTTTTGGACGTCACCTTGGGGCCAGGAGATTCACAGGTCAATACAGGCTTCCTTGATACCACCTAAGGTTGAGTCTTATCCTTGTCGGAAGTTGCTTATGCTAATAGGAACATGGGGAAGAGCAGGAGGTCTTGTAGTTGGGTCCCTACACTCTAAGGTCATTTTCATGAATGAGTCTAATTAGTCAGACAGTCACTGCAAAATAATAATACTAATAGCGCTGGAAGCTGAGGCACTCACATTTGCCCTCTGTGTTGGGACTGGAAGTTGACTTCCACTCCCAGGAGCTACATGAGAGAACGTTAAGGCACTAACAGTGGAATTCAGTTTCTAAGGATGCATGCAGTACTGGCAATTTTTGTTAGCATGGAAACATACAGAAAGAAAAAACAAAGAGAAGGCAAAATGAGAAGAAAAATTCAGAGACACAGGCTTTATGTGTTTCATGTTTTCAGATAATGCCATGGCCAGCTCAGGGAAGACCTCAGGCCATCAAACCCTAAAGCTCAGTATGAGAACCATGGTTTCTCCTCACGGCAGCAACCTGTTTGGTCCAGGACATGCAAATGGGTTCATATTCCACAGGGCTGCACGAACCTGACCAGCAGACCTCAATGAATGGTGGGAACTGGAACCCCCATTTTTGTCTGAAAAAAGCCTCTCTGTCACTATGCTTCTAACAGAGGACTTAAGAAGATAAGGCCTCTTTGTTATGGGCAAAGCCAGTCCTGATTCTGGGCTGGCTAACCACCCCTGCACCCAGGCGTTCAGAACTCACTGCTGCATTTGGCTCCTGTGTGCCGAGTTTGGCCATCCTACAACTGAACAAATAATTCTCACAATACCATACTTCCAACTAGTGGCCTCTTTCCAGACTGTCAGTAGCTCGCCAGCTACTGTGTCCCCCAGATCTCCAGAGAAGGGCATCCAGTAGAAACACTAGTAGAGGCCTGGCCCATTATTTGTAGAGTGGGGTGAGACATGAAAATCTTTTCCCCTACATGGGCCTTTGTGGCCCATTCAAAGCAGGGGTACCTCTAAAGAACCCCTTAATGTGGAACTTCATGTCCTGAGCGAGTAAACTAGGTCACCCATTTATCTCCGTTTCTCCAAGGTCTGGCTCAGCAGTTTCTAGAAGCACAGGGATTTCATTCATTAGCAAGTGTGAAATTCGCCCAAGGATCGTGTCTAACAGCTCTAATGCCAGAGTGGTTGTTCATTAGCGCTTGGACATTGACACGACTGGAGGGTGTTAAACTGCCCAGGTTGTTGGCTAAGGCCAAGGAAGCTATTTTTCTCCAGCTTCTTGGTTGGGTGGGGGACTGTTTTGTTTTGATTTTCAAATAACTTCCTGGGCATTGGTTAAGCAAATGCATAAACAATGAATGGAGGATTGGGTGCCTTGTCTGAATCAGATCAATTTCCTTGCAAAGTTCTGGCTGGAGGATGATTTCCATTTGCCTCTACCCCCAGCTCCCTGATGGATTTCTTGTCCTTTCTGTCTGTCTCTGAATTCTGGGAAGGGGGTCTTGATGGACCACATCAGTCAGGCCCCCTTAACCTTTGGCTTCCGGTTGAGTTGGCCAATAACAGCACCAGCAAGATCAGTGGTTTGGAGAACAGAGAGGCCCAGGCATTTACTCACTTCTGCTACCCTCATTCCTGCCACAGTGGTGTCCTGGCAGTGGCAATGCTTTTCTTAGGCTCCAGGCTCCTTTTCTAAGACTGTCTCATCTGCCTCCAGATTTTTCTAGGCCCCAGTTATACTGCTGTACTCTTGATTCTTTAGAGCTATCATAGACAAAGGCTTCTGCCAGCTGCAGCACCCTGGGGGCTCTTACCAATCCTCACTGGCCCCTGAACCTCTCATACATGCTGAGCAGAGTCCTTTTGTTCAGTGCTTTTCAGTTAACCCTTCTGAGGAATGCAAACTCTGTCCTGCCAGAACCTGACAGACTTAGGTTTTAGGCTGCCGGTAGAGCTGGTGTCTTGGTTGATCTGCATGTTGACGAAATCCTGCAATGTGCTTAGATTAGCAGGACCTTTCTTCCAAAAAAATTTCCTCTATTTACCATAAGGGACCTCCTACAGGTAAGACGGGCCATGTGCTTTATCTTATGGTTTCTCTCCTGGGCCAACTAAGCCCTAGTAAATAAATGTGCAAGGCCAAAAGCAGTTAGGGCAGTGAAGTGGTACTGCTGAAGGCTTTGGCTGACTTGGAGACTCTGCTTATGGCCACCACCCTTCCTTCAACCCCATCCGTAAACTGGGGATAATAAAAATTCCTCCTGCCTCAAGACTGCATGAGGATTAAATTAGATAATGCTTTAAAATACTTAAAACATTGCCTGGCACATATATAGTAAGATGCTCAGTACATTTTTGATGTGACTATTCTTTCTCCCATTGGGATGCCAACTATTAATGGGATTCTATGAAGAACAGAGTCATCATTATACCTGCAGAGAATGCAAACTTCCCTTGGAAAGAGAGCGCTAAGATGTCACATGGAACCACTCAGACTTAGCAATACTGAATGCTGCATTGGGAATGAATTATTTGTATGAATTATTCATAGCTGGATTATGACCCAAGTGAATCTTCTTCTTTTTTCTTTTTCTATTTTTTTTTTTTTAGAGACAGGGTCTTAATCTGTTGCCCAGGCTGGAGTACAGTGGCATGATCACGGCTCACTGCAGCCTTGAATTCCTGGGCTCAAGTGATGCTCTTGCCTCGGCCTCCTGAGTAACTGAGACTACAAGCATGTGCTACCACATCCAGCTAATTTTCTCATTTTTGCAGAGCGAGGCTAAGTGAATCTTCTTTAAGGAGAGACTTGATGGTGGGTAGGATGTATAAATAAAAGCAAAATGTAAAGGAGATGGAGTGTTGGTTTTGATACTTCTCATGCCTCAAGAAACAAGGGGGGAATGGGTTTTATGGCCCAGTCCATTCCTTGCCGGAGCACAGAGCTCATGTCTCATCGCTAATGCTGTTGCCCCAAGACTTGTGAGCTGCAGCCACCAAGTTAATCAGCTTGGCTTTTAGAATGAAAAAAAAATCTGGTGCTGGCTGGGTACAAATTCCAAAAGACCTGTAGCTCTGTTTAGGGCTCAAAGAACGGAGCGGGTATGGACCAGTGGATCATTAACAGGCTTAGCAGTCACCTAAGAAGACAGGTAAATGCAGAATGCTGGCCTCCAACCTCCTAATTTTAATGCTTTGAAAATAATTTCTGCTTTATTTTTACTAAGCACCTCCAGGTGGTTCTGTGACAAGGATTTGGGACCATGCTTTGGGACGCTTCTTAAGCTAGAGGTTGGGACTTTGCAAAACTTGATGGGATTTGAATCCTGGATGCATTTCTGCAGCATGAGCCTGACTTCTTTTGAACTCTGCTCCACATTGCTTCCTATTTCCTCCCTAGAGGATGTTTTGTTTTTGTTTTCTTTGCCCTTTGTTCTCTGTGTCCTATGTCCTACTGTTCAGCATTTCTCCCTTTTTCTTAGGCTTTACTTCCATGTAAAAACTAGAGCTTAGATGGAAACCCTCCCATCTCTTTTTTTTTTTTTTTGAGATGGAGTCTTATCACCCAGGCTGGAGTGCAGCGGTGCCATCTTGGCTCACTGCAACCTCTGCCTCCCGGGTTTAAGCGATTCTCCTGCCTCAGCCTCCCAAGTAGCTGGGATTACAGGCACCACCACCATGCCTGGCTAATTTTTGTATTTTTAGTAGAGATGGGATTTTGTCATGTTGGCCAGGCTGGTCTTGAACTCCTGACCTCAAGTGACCTGCCTGCCTCAACCTCCCCAAGTGCTGGGATTGCAGGCATGAACCACCGCACCTGGCCTAGACTCTCTTTTAAAAAAAATATGATTCACTTAATGGGACAGGGGAAAGAACCCAGTGAATATAAAGCTAACACTATCACTAAATCTCAACCTACTCCAAATCCTCCAAATTGTTTGCATATACATTTTTATATAGTTGATATCTGTGTCTTTATACCTTCTTCATTCAACATCTCACTATAAATCTCCATTGATCAACACTGACAAAATGTTTATTTTTAGTGGCTTTATGGTAAAATCCTTTTACTTCTATTAATAATTAAACAAAAAAAAAGTTATCAGTAATATTCTCCTTATTTTAAAATTAAGGTATTATGGCCATACCTTTTGCTTTTCTGCTGGAATAATGGTAGAAGTTTTCAGGTAAACAGATATACAAATTTCATTCTGTTTTCCAACAGATATTAGTTGGACCTTGCATGGTACCAAGCAGTGTGCTGAGGTTAAAGATGAGATAATACAAGAGAGACCCAAATCCTAAAAATCTAATAGTTGAGACAGAAAAAACTATTAGAAATTGTGAGGCCGGGCGCGGTGGCTCAAGCCTGTAATCCCAGCACTTTGGGAGGCCGAGGCGGGTGGATCACGAGGTCAAGAGATCGAGACCATCCTGGTCAACATGGTGAAACCC